CCCGGCGCAGGGGCACGGCTCCCCTGGGTAGCCCCTTCGAGCCAAGCGCGGCCCGCGGACACCACTTCTTGGAAGCCCCTTAGGGATGTGATGTGATGTGATTTCCACCCAGCGTAGCCGAGCCACCGCAAAACAAACCAACCCCAACACCGCAGAAGTGGTTATAACAGTTTTATTGTCCCGAGAGCATCCCGGAAAGTAAACTGCTCACCTAACTCCTCTGTGGCTTTTCTCAACCTCACGACGAAGCTGCTCTTTTCCGGTCCCTTCATAAGCAATGCCAACATGCTGCACTAGAAAATGCTGATACAAGACTGTGAGCCGCACTGGGGTTGGAAAGCCACATCCCCAAAACAAAAGCAGTAGTAAACCAGCAAGTTTAGTAAGTGTAACTACATCCTATGAGCAGCTCCGGGCAGTGCAGCTACGTCAGCAAAATAAACTTTTTCATGTCTCCAGCAGATGACTTTGTCACAGATGCCTGGTGTGCACGTAACTACCCGTGGTAGAGTTACGGCACAGTTGGCTTTGTTTAAAACTTCAATGTATTGAAGAAATGGATTAAGAAAAATCTCAGCTTTTGGTAAGAACCCAAAGCTAAAAAAGTTCGTAACTCAGGTTGCGGAGAAAAGACTGAAAATGGGACCTAAATGTGTCCTAAGGCCTCAGAAACCAGATGGCACAACCCATCAACTTCATAAACTTAGTCTTGGGATTTGGAAGGCCAACTCCGCTTTTTTTTTTTTTTTTTTTACTTTTTTCTGTTTAGTTTGGCAGTGCTGAAAGACAACCAAGATTGGTAATCCTTTTTAATACACTTACAATTACTTTTCTTTGTAAGGCAAGGCAGCAATAATTTTATTTTACAAATAGTTAAGAAAAAAAGTTTTCTAATACAACTGTAGGAATTGAGAGTACATACAATATAAATAAGATGAAGTTACAAAATTCAATGAAATTATTTTGTGGGGTTTTTTGTTATATAAAGCCCTGTAATGATCTCATTTAGCCACTGTTTCTACTAAGCCATATTTTAAAACATGTAATTTAATGAAAAACAAATATATTAAAGGTAGCTCACTTCTCATCACATCTGTTCACTGTGAATTCTAGGCCAGGTCTTATGATTATGTGACTAACGTATTGTTTTGCTCCCACTTCCCTGCAGAATCAACATAGCTCAAAGAGAAGGAATCGAAACCTATTCCTTCCTGTGAATCACCACACAAATTGTTTGCAGGACTCCAGTCAATTGCAGATGGAAACCCACTCAAGAGAATAGAGGGGTTTTGGTGGTGTTTTTTTTATTTTCTTTACTGGTGGTAATGTAGAAGCAAACTATTCTCCTTAGAGCAGAAAGCAGAGGGAGCTGGGCAAGCTAACCAGACTTAATTCCCCAACCCTATCTGTACTCTACCTGAATGATTTTGATACGCAGCTTTTAAAATAGAGTCATTTTTCACAGTAAAATAATGTTACTTTCCCTTTAATAAATAAAGGGCTCAATTCAATTAAGCATTAAAAAAAAAATCAATCCTTTGTTTTCTTCATAATTTTAAGCTGTTTTGTTGCAGACAGTGCAATGGTTTGCCTTGTTTGAAAATGTTAATTTAATCAAAGTAAATGATCACAAATTCCATCCTTTAGAATACATTCACCCATTTATGTATTCTCTAAATTGAGTGTTAAATTACCAGAGCAGGTTACAGTTGTAATAGTCTTTACCTTAATGCGTTTTGGTGAAGTTAGTTTGCTTCTGGATTTTTCTCCCATTTTGGGACCAAAGAAGTGACCTCCAGCTTCCAGCAGGGAAAGAATAATTCCATATAGAACATGTTAAGGGATGGAATGAGAAGACAAAAACTCTATAGACTACAGTTCAAGAGACACAAGAGTAACAGTGGGTACAGGGTCTCTGCCTTCTTTCATGGCAGGGCCTTCAATTCTTACCACTTCACAGTTGTAGCAGGCTGTTTTCCCTGTTAGTAAGGAAGCCCTTACACCGCTGTTGCTTTTCTGCTCGTCTTCGTAACTATATGCTGGGCCAAATCTCTTGGCCCGAGGATACCTTAAGCGTCTGTCTTAGTTCTGGGTTTCAACTGTAGTAGTTCCAAACTGCAGTTATATACAACAGTTTGACACTGTGGCAGAGATGATGAGATTCCTGTCTGTCAAAGAAGGAATCTGTCTATAGTTCAGTTTCACAAGACTTTGCACAAACTCTCAGCTCTTGACCTGTAAATCATGGGGAAGGCTTTGCTTGTCTTCTGTACCAGGAACAGGAAACCTAATTCAATGTCAACTGAGAGATTTACAGAGCTGTTAATACCAGCAAGTAGAGGAGCACACTAAGTAAAGTATAATAGAATTATTATGCCAACAGAAACAAACCCCCCTGTCCTACTGTTACGGAATTCAGCAGCAAAACTTCAATGAGAGTGGGACTAACCCCTAAAAGGGCAAGAAATTATTCACTGTCTTTTATGTTTGCAAGCCAAGGAGCTTATAGCAGCCTAGGAGCTGTTTTAGTCTGCTAGGCCTGCCTTTAGGATTCATGTTTAACAGTTTAATATGCTTCCTGCTTTGTTTTAAGATCTCTTTGGGATTTCAAGAATGTTACATTTGCATGTATGCAACTAATATTACTGTACTAAGAACAAATGCCCAGTAGTATTTCCTGCTCAGTTTTCTCTCCCAACTAAACCTAATTTGGCTCAGATGGAAATAGTGGAAAAAAAGAGATGCATGAAGAATAGGGCCTACACATTGACAGCTGTGTCAGTTTCCGATTATCAGAACGACCTTACCTCCTCTTACTGAGGTTCATACATCTCCCAGTGGAAATAGGAAAAAAACAACCACTTCAACTTGGTGTTCCTCCTAGCCTTATAGTATTATTTCAGTTCTTGATTCAGAAATACAGGGTATTGTACTTCAACAGTAGAACAACCCTCAGATGGAGGGTAGGAAAATGCATAAAGAACCATCTCAAAAGCCCTAACTGGACGCTGGGAGAGACACTAAAACCACGGGGCAGAGAAGTGCAACTAGCTCAAAGAGAGAATCAAATGGAAACCAAGAACTATACAGAGTATTAGAGAGACTAACCTTACATTTATTCCCAGACTTCTAAGCGTATGAAAAAAACACCACAAAGGAAGAGAACTGAGAATTACAAAGGAAAAGGGGGAGTAAGAAGAGAGATGAGATACAAGAAGACGGGAAGAAACTGAGGTAGTATCTAGTACAGGAGGAACAAAGAACACCCACAAGTGACAGCAAAATCCTACAAAAAACTCATTTAGAATTAAGGATTTTTTCGATATATAAATTAGTTTATTTTCATTTAGATATAAAAGTTATAAATACAATTCATGTAAAACAGTATCTGATAAAAGAGCACTGAATCAGTTCATCTGTCTGCATAATTTGACTGAGACCGAGAGGCCCTGACCCTGCTAGGATCATTTGATGTCAACAATAGCTTGAAGAGCCACTGCTGACAAGGCTAACTGAAAGGGTGAGTAAAGGGGTGCTACTGTGGCCTTCTGAGCACAGAGAAAATCATCTTGAATTGGAAATTAGCATTCTACCTTCCTGTCACCCCAATCTAACATAAGGCAGTTTCTTTCACACAGTCCTAGTCAGAAAAATAACCAGACAGGTAAAAAACTGACTTAGTTTTTCTGGATGGGTAGAGGGAATGCAGAGCCATCAGCCAAGAACTCAGAAGAGCACAACTGGAACACACTGCCAGGTCTTGTCCCCAGCCTGATGAGAAGGAAGTACATGAAGGCACAAGAGAGATCCATGATTCAAGTTCTCTTTGCTCTCTCATCTCTGCTGATGAGATCATCTCAAGACAATGGCTCACCAGCTAATGCAGAATGGGCATCTGAGAGATACGCGAGCTGGAGTTCTCAGCATCAATTCATAATTTACAGTTAAATACAGAGTTTACACGATTACCATCTTTTTTTTCCCTGGCAATATCAGAAAACGTCTTCACAAAGTTTCATTACTTTGAAAGAGCAAGTGATATCTACCACTGCAAGGACTCCAGAGACCAAAAGCAATAAATCTGGCTCTTTGGAGCTTGAAACAGAGTTAGTCTGCTGACAATGACAATATCCAAAGCTGGAGAACACCTATTCTTGTCTCAATAGAGGGACAGAGTTTTCCAGGATCGTCATGGATATGAGTAACGGCCATGAAACAGGCAAGATAGTAACTGTTCTCTGCTTTAGTACACAGCAGATGTGCACACTACGAGGCTTATGTGTCACAGTGTGCAGCAATTCATTCTGATGAATCAAGGCCATATGAATCAAGAAGTGTTCCATGCTGTGACCTACAGTCTCCATATTGTACATCCAGCATTAAAAATGGAACACTGGAAGGACAAATTGCAAAGCTCCATGATACATTTATTAATTTTTTTTTAAACTTACTGATGCCTTTGAAAACACCTGTAATCTCCTTTTGAGGTAACTCCTCCTTATAGTCAGGTTAAAATTATTTATATAAAATCTACTTTAATATGTCATGACTTGAGATAATCTCATGTTAAAAAAATGAAACCAGTCACTAACTTATTCCTAAAAATGTAGCAAATTTTATGAACAATGGACAAATTAAAAAATATTTCTGACCAGCTTACAGTCTAGATTCAATCAATCAGAACACTGCTTTTCAGGAATAGTACTGTATATTGTTACAATACTACCTTCTGCCAAATATAGTCAGATTCTATCATCTATTTAGTCTCATTTTTCACATGGTTAAGAATAACAGGAACAGCAATGGATAGAATATCACCAACTAAAAAGGAAGCGTTTGAGATTTGATTGTTCTTTATTTGGTAAAAAGACTGTCAAGGGATATGGAACAATTAGAATAATGAAAGGGAACTGGACTATCAGCCTTAACAGACAATCATCCTCCAGAGTAAGAGAAAAGTGTTTTATTAGAACCAATGTCTCATTCCAGCTCTGTATTTCTTGAACATTACTTACGGTTGCACAGAGCCATAACCTGAATCCTTCCATATTTGACTGTGGTAACAGACAGCAAAATGCTACACAGGGCAAAAGAGAACACGTGCCAATAACTGTCCTCCTTTCTTCTGAATTTATCTGATCTGGAACTCAAGAGTTCCTGATCAGACCAGGAGCATCATCTCCAGGGGCACTGTGGAAGTTCCAAGTTATACGAACACTAAACTATTATTTTTCTAATCCTAGCTGCAAGGGGTTCCAATTAGTGGGCTAAATTCCTTAGCCCGCTCTCATGCAGCACCTGTTACAAGGATTCTGAAAGCAGCATCAACACCGATGACAAAAACATCACCCATATTTCTTGTTCTTCCACAATGCATACAGAGACTGCTCAGTCTTGGGACAGTCTCGTAAGATGGTCGGTCTACTGTGAACTACCATAATGCTCTGTGGCCTGGTATTTGCTTTCTAATAAGCCTGCAGAAAGTCTGTCCTCCAGTTCCTTTCCATCCCCAATGTGCTTTTCATTACTCCACCGGGAACTCTTACAAGATGCAGGGATGGGAGTGAGTTCCATGTTTCAGGTCTGCTGTCTCTCATTCACAGGCCAATTTACTATCAAAGCTGGAGAGTCCAATAGCAAAGGCCTGAAGAGCACAGAGAGGATAATTATAGTCCAGAGTGAACACATCTTCTGCTACACGACCAAACTGCATCACAATGTAGTCAGCTGGGGAGAAAAGAAAGATTCAGAGACAAACAATTTCACAGTGAAGCAAAGGAAAAAAAACCCAAAACCAACCACAAACAAAAAACACACACATGTCTGGCAGTCCCAAATATACGTGGTTGGTGTATCCACCCTTTCTCACCAGAGTGGCCTTGAAATCTGTTCTCTAGAGTGACTGTGTTATTCTAAAGATTACCTTTCTTCTCAGAACCAAAGCTCAAACCACTCTTTTGCTGAGCTGAAGGTGCTGTATTAATCCTTTCCCTTCAGGAAGGTTGCATTTGCCCCCTCTTTTGCTGCAGCTATGGACAGCAGTTTCTGCACCCACCCCAGAAAGAGGGAGGCCTTATGTAATTTTTCAGACAGCTGAGAAGTCCCCAGTAATCCTGAGCTGAATTCCTCCACCCAGTCTCCCTTCTCCAGGAAGAGTGTCCTATTCCTCATGAAATAAATTGGGTTCTCCCTGTTCGAATAAGCCCCACACGCTCTCCACCAGACTCTTACGGTCATTGTCATGGACAATCTGGAAGTTCTTCACTGAGGCCTGAGTGACTCTCCCATGGAAGTTCAAAACATAGGACTGAGTATCATCGTTCCAGACTGGAGCCTTGTTGTGCAACTCAATGAGGTTCTCTAAATTTTTATTTTGCCATTTTGACAGCAGACTCTCATGTTCCTGTTCAGAAGAAAGAAATATATTTATCAGATTTGGAATGGCTCTGCTTTGGAGTACTGCCTCTCTCAAGTGCGTGCACTCTGTCACTTGAAGGTCATTCCCTGTTTAATGAAACACAATGACAGCACTTAAACTCGGTCCTGCTGAAAATTTCCTGCAAGTACCAGGAAGATACTTTCATGGATTCCCAGTCCAAGCATTCCCTTCCACTCAATAAGCTATCACCATATTTCCACCCAAACAAGAAAAAAGAGCGAGAGAGAAAGAAGTGTGTGTACAGGAAAGGGCTGTACAATTCACAGGCCACAGATGACTGCCATCCTGCTGGCAGGAATCCTTTCTGAGTCTCATAAGCTTTTTCTGATCCTGTTGGATCCAACTTCCATTTCTAACATTCTAAACTTTGAAACAAAAGAAAATAATCTACAATTAACTGCACAGTGCCAGGCCCTGGGGTGCTTCAGTAGAAAGTCCAAAGGCTGTAAATATGCCTTAAGTAGGTTAAATGTCACCCTATTGGGTCTAATAAGTGATGCACAATACGAAAGAGAGAGAAATAAAACCAAAAAGATACAAAAAGGAGGTAAACCAGCACATTAAATTTAACAAACAGAATGAACTACAAGGAGCTGCAAATAGTGAGCGAAACACATGACGTATGATTTAATTTTAAAAGTTTTGCAATATATAAGTATGATTTATTTTAAAAGTTTTGCAATATATAAAATCCAAACTGAAATAATATATGCTAAAACTCCCAAGAAAAAGAATCCAAACTGAGTTATTTAATGGGAAAAAATTATCAGAAAACAACCTGTTGTGGAGGTCTGACTGATATAGCTATAGTAACTGTTTTAGTATTGCATACAGATATGATAGTGGATTTTTGAGGATAATCTAAATAAAACTTACTGTTCAGTTTAAACTAGTTACTTTATGTCTTTATCTTTATTTACTTTTTTAAAGATGCAAACAGAACTTTGAGAATTGGCACCAACGAAGTGCATTTAGATGCAATTTTTCCTCCTTTAAAGTGGGGGGCAGTATTGCTTAATTGGAGGCATCGCACTACAGAGAAGGAAGACAAAGACAGAGTCAAACCCCTACACTGAAAGCTTTGCCAACTTTTCAGAACAGCTTTGTGTTTCAGCCTTGTCCACTGTCAGTACACTTGCCTGCTAGCAAAACAGTTGGGAAAATAAGGGAGAAAAGTAAAGGCAGGGCCATGGAATCATTACTGTACTGATGAGGCAGATGGCAATACCAAGTGAAAGGTGATGAATAAATGATCACCTCCAGATACAATTTTCCTGGCCATTCACAAAATTAAACCTCTTTTCCAGGCTCTCATGACTCTGAATTTCCACTCTTGAAGATTTTTTTCTCTGACCTCAACAAATACGTTCTTCTCCTACTCATATCTACTCACAACATGGCTGCAAATACCATTTTCTAGCTTAAAACACTGACCATGTCTTTCAGTTGGCACCTGTCCTTTCTGTCTTTTGGTCTTCTATCACACCAAACATAAAACCCACAGTGAGGGTATGGAACAATTTTCATCGTACACCAGTTCTGTAAGCTTTTAGCTATAACGTCCCCTATATGTATGAGAAATCCTCCCTAAATAGTTACCACAAAACTCCATTCTTCCCCTCATCCCACTTTCTCCTTAAAGAATCCTCCTCTTCTGTGGTTCCTACAGAGAGACTGACAGCATTCTGATCAATAATTTATTTACTCTCTTGCTACTACACCAGAATACCACCTTATCTATTTATTATCTATCTGTTGTAATTCATGTACTGGCTAAGAATGTAAGCTCCTGGGAGAAGCAAGTTTGTTCTGTGTTCATCCAATTCTCAGCATAACAGGGTCCTACCCATGAGGAGGGGTTGTAGGTGTAACAGCAACAACATACACTAGCCATTGCAACAGCCAAGTAAATAATATTTAGGCTGACCAAAAGACAAGTAAGGATACAAACACTGTTTAGAAGGCTACAAATTAGGTAAAAGGCAAGAACAAATTAATCAACACCTTTAGGCTACATTGTATTTACTCTCCATGAGACTTGCTAAAGCCCTGGGTATTAACCACCTTGCTCTAAAAACCGTGATTGTCAGTAACGCCCAGACCTCTACGAGAAAGTTTTAACCTCTTCCTCCAATCTGAAACACGACCAAACTCCATAACTCACATTTCGTGGACGGATTGGAATTCGCTTATGATTCATATTCATTCCTGGAATGATCACAGACATTTTTCTGGGACCCTTGAATCCTAACACATTGGTTTCCTGAAAGACAAGGAAAAACATAATTTTCAGTAAATGAGATACTCCATCTGAAAGAAGGAAGGACAGCAAAACTGAAAATGAATCCACATTTATATTGGTTTTTAGAGATTTGCTAGCTACAACTGTAGTAGCAGTTATCTAACTGCAACTGTGTTTAATCACCGAGAATAGCTTTCTCTCCCATTTTGAGAACTGTGTTAGAAGACATACATAGTATTACCTAATTTAGAGCACATCTGTTACCCTAATGAAACATTTACAACGAAATCAGACAAGTCCAATTTTCAGGCATAAGTTTTTGCATCTGATGCAAAAACGTGCTAAAATCTTGCTAGTAAACAAGCCTTAAGTATGATAAAGGGCAAATATCTTCGACCTGAGTCTATGTTATCTATCTATCACCATTTAGGCTAAAATGTTCCTGAAGAATGAATGACATCCTTCTTTAGGTGCTGTTATTTGTGTTTAAGAGTATACCTACAATTTTCTCTCAAATCATGCTCTTTTATAAATAAGAACAGACCCAGAAGGCAAAGCATTCAGCATCTGTCCAAGCTTCAAACTGAAGCAGATTTTTCCAGACTACTGCAGGAGACTGCTCCAAGTGGATTGAGTATAAAAAGCAAAGGAAAAAAGTCTTGGCATTCTCAAACCATCCATTTAATAATGTCAACCAAAATCCAAGGGTCCATTTAAAGTGTTCTGTAACAATGTCAGTGATAACCTTTAAAATTCCCAAAGACCAATTAAAAAGCCAGAATCTTTTAGAAGTACTGAATTGACTGATAGAAGTGATACAGCTTCTCCTAACATGCTAGTGCATTTTGCAGACACAGAACAAACGTCTTTGGAGTTGCAACCTCTATTATTTCACTTCAGAAAAATCTAACGGCACATATGAGAATGAGGGTATGGATTTTATTCATATATAAACTTTATGAACTTCTTGTAGATAAAAGTTCAGAAATCTGGAAAGCTGACTTGATATCATCTGCTGTACTCATTTTAACACCTTACTGTGTACAATTAGGTAGGGAACTGAAGAATACTGTATACAAAGAAAATATCCAGTGATATTTCTGTAAACAGGCTAGTACTAGAATTATCACACCATTTTTTTTCCCAAGTGCCACACTAAGATCAACAGCAAAAAAATCAAGATCATGCTCCAGTAGGCTAATGAGCCTTTAAATTTCTGCTGCTGTACCTGTGATAAAAGTAAAAATTCTTCCACTTGACTGGCTATCATTTTGTAAAGAACCTCAAATTTTACTCAAACTTTAGGACTGGAATATGAAACAATGGGATGTGAGAACCCACATAATTCTAGTGTCCACTAGAGCCTCCTCACTCTGAAGCCTAGACCAAGGTGATCCACAAGACCAGAAGAAAACATCTCTAGGACAGCTAGCAAATCATGATTTCCCCTGGAACCATATCCTTATCAACAACAAGCTGCTACTGAAATAATACCACCTCCTTCCTATCCACCAAAATGCCTCTGGTTCTGCAAAAAATAACTCTACTTCACAGGGTACTCCCAGTTCCTTCTTGGTGTCCACCAGACACCAGCTGGGCAAGAGGAAGTTCATGTTGTGGCTGGCTCCATGTAAAGGGTATATTGATTGGCCACACGCTGAATGATAGGCCAGGTGAGAAGGTCATCAGGATGTTAGTTTGGGTCTCTCTCCTTCCCCTGGCATTGATTTTCATTAAACTTGTAAGAACTTATCTTTGAGGCCTCTACCCTTTGTTGTATCTGGTTGAAATTGGTCAGTTGGTTCCAAAGTTAAGTGGGGGAGGCTGCCAGGCAGCATGATTTTGTAAGCCGTTTCCTCGGCAACCAGGCGACAAAAAAGAAGGGGGCAAAAGGGGAGAGGCACTACTTACATAACAAATAGCTGCAAGCTCCTGTCTGGTATGAGCCTTTTCCACTAGACCTTGTGCCTTGACTGGGCTAACTCCATGGTCATAGACTGTAAATTTAGTTCCCATGAGGTTTGACCTAATGTCAGGTTATGGAAAGACAGAAAAAGAGAGAGGTATCAGTGGAAAGTTTTGTCATCTTCCAAAGGTATTTGTACAGCACAGTGAAAACACACATCTCTTGCCATCTAAATCTTGCCAGCTCAGTAAGGCGCTTCCGCGAAGTGCCCATGGTGAACTGAGCCTGTAACCTATCCTGGAAAAGCATCAAGCCAGAATTCCTTCTCTGAATTGCCACGATGAATGGTAACGCTGAAGAAAGGTTGCCAACCCAGGTGAATACAGATTACATTAAGCAGGTCGATACAAGTTCATTCTCTCTGAATTGATACCAGATTGCTATTCATAACCCCAACTCAACTAAAATGAAAATCCAGTCTCTCCTGTCTAGTTTTCATCTGTGGTTCTCACCTGAGTTTTCCAATGAAACTTTCCCCTTCCCGGGATAAATCAGTTGGGTCAACTGATATGAGGTAATTGGATGTTTTGCTCTTTTTTCGTTTTCTCCCTGCAAGAAGGAATGTCTGGAAATACAAAACTTTGATCAAGACTGGAGCTTTGTAAGAATGCAGAGGCATTGCTACCCAAACTGTTATCTCTGTATTTCCCACATCCATTCCCCTGTGTGTTCTGTGCTGTTATTACTGTCTCCACAATTTTGATCTCTTCCACAAGTGTACACCCTGAAATCCTATCCCTCCAATCAGCTCATTCGTCAGTCTAGATTTAATGCAACTGTCCTTTCTAGTCTTTCCTCCTTTTCTTCTGGAGCAGTTCAGTCTCCCTGCTCTTCTTTATCCTTGACATTTTTATACTTTTTTAATTTTATCTTTCATTGCATTATGGCTTTTAAACCTGCCAATTCCCTCCTTAGTGCCTTGGCCAAATATAAGCTGTCCTCATCTGCATGCTGGCTCTCCTCAGCTTCTGGTTTCTTATCAGAAGCTCTCCCTTACACCAAAAATATTCTGTGGTAGGAGTACAATAACCAAGATACTGTGAGCTGCTTCCAATACCTTTCTGTTGTCATCCCTTTCCAGATGCATGTAATAAGAAGGGAAGAGGCCCCGGTCCATTCCCTTCTTATCTCTAGTGATTCGACACTTGACTGTAATACCACGGGGTGCAGGGCGTAATGCAAAATCCTCCAAGTTCTCTACTTCTCCCAGCTGTGCATCTGCCTGAGGTGATGGACTACAGGAAGCACCTGTTTCCTGTGGGAAGAACCATCATATTAGCAAATTAATATATCAGAGGCTCTGGTATTCCCCAAGAAAAGAAACGTCTGTTGAAACAGAAGATCTCATGTCTCAAGAAGATATTTGGGAAAGGGAAGTTAAACGAGAGACCACCTGTGTTTCTCTGAAGAAAGTGGCTGAAGACTTTTACTCTGAGGAAAGACTAGCCCTCCAAGGGGAGGGGAGAAAAAGTACCCATTAACCAGAGATGAGTGAATTGCTAGGAAGGGGAAAATAGGATGAGACACTGTAAATATTCTAAGCAAAGAGCCTCTCTGCTTTTAGAACTTCAAACACTCTGTGGGAAATAAGGCAGCATGATAAGCTGGACTGGTGGATGCTGCAGTAAGACAGTGCTCATTTCAGTCACAAAAATCCCAACCTGAGATTATGTTGGTTCAGAACAGTAGCAGAAACAGAGTAAGCTGACGGTGGAACCATCTCAACTAAATGCTGGAAGAACCTTAGAACAATGTGTACAGTCAGGATGCAAGTTATGGTCACCAAAGGAATTGGAATTCTAATGGAAATCTGGTATAGGTCATTAAAGTAATTTTTTCTTAGAGGTAGCTGAATCCTGTGGATTGTAGAACCCAGGAGATTCCTCCCTTACTGGGCCTTAGAGATGAGGTTGCTGGTTTATCCCCATTCCCGGGTACAGCCAGTAGGAAGTCTGAGTGAATACACACAGACACACACTTGAAATTCACTAGTGGCTCTTACCCCTCCCCCCCTCCAGCACCCCCCACCCTGTATCTCCAGCAGTTGGCACCCATAGCCCAGTCTCCCAAGTAGCTAACACCCTGACCTCTTGTACTACTCACCCACCAGTGTAGCACAACATACACACAGTCCCCTCACAAATACACTCACACTGGTCTTTTGAATAGTAGCATGGACTTTTAAGGCTGTCCAGCATCCATGCCCAAAACCTATGCCCTTTTGTCACTAGCTCAGATCCTGGGTCTTCCTGATGGTGGTCTCTTCCAACTCACTGGCTAGTCCAGCATATAGTTTGTCACCGTATGTATGTATGTCATGTCACACACAAACACACACACACGCACAGGAGAACACATTCACACAGGAATAGTTAGAAATGGAGTTTTAGAAGATGGTAGGACACACTGCAGTAATCAGGCACAAAGCTTGGCCAGACAAGCATACTGTCTTGCAGCTGTTTACATGGATCTGGTGTCTCTTACCCCCTTTAGTCCCTATTTTCCCATGCTTATTACTCCCTGATCCACCTTGACCCTTTTCTTTTCCCCTGAGTCCCTTCCTCTAAACACCCTGTAAAAAGTTTTGTCCAATCCCAGAATTCTCTGTTCTATCCCAAAATTCTGTTCCCCCTTCCATCCCACAATAAACGCTATAAACCTTCAGGCAGTGATCCCTCTTAAGTTTGCATGGCATTTGAGTTTCTCTGAGTCATCTTGGTGGATTTTACACCAGAGACAATGGCCTAATCTGTCTCCTTTGAGGGTCATAGGAGTAGCTGATTCATTGTGTTCCCATCTTCACTGATTAGACTACTTGGGTGTCTCCGCCCACCATTGTTCCTTTGATCATTACTAGGTCTTTGTGTTTAACTCAATGGCCCTTCAGTCAGATAACCTGACAATCATGACCTTCCTCTGCCTTCAGGGATTAATATGCTAGCTACTGTAGTTGCAACTACTATATTTTAACCCAGTGCTCAAGGGGTTAGTACTAAAATCAAGCATGTGTCCAGCCCTTATCAGAAATGGATTTCAAGACACTTACTGCAAAAGATTTCTCACTGGTTGCAGAACTAGGCCTCTCAGATTCAGGGTATGGTAAATGAGATGCTGGTCTCTTACTAGCTTCTTCCTCTTCTGTGTCCTCCTCATCAAAATTCAAACTGCCTGAAATTCCTGTCAGAATAGAGGATCAAGCAGGTAACCTCTGAAAGAAGGTGTCATGAGTTCATGGCATCACTAATTCGTATATGACTCTTGCATAGCTATTTTGCTCTCACTCTTTTAATTAATTTCTGTTTTTTCAACTGCTGATTTTCTTCATGTGCTATATTGCTTCCTGAGCCTTGTAATTCAAACCCCTAGTGACATTTTGCAGCTGTCACTATGCAGATGACTAAGCAGCTGTCAGGCTTTTATTAATACATATTTTACATGATATTACATGATGTAACATATTGCTTAGTATATGCTGTCATTGAATTAATTTTGCCTATTTTCACGCAAAAAAAGCCCTCCATGTCTTAAGGACAAAAAAAGGAAATCCAGATCAATATGCTGACACCTATCCTGTAAGTTGGACTCTGTACAGTTTACAACCTTTACCATTTCCTCTTAGTCACTGAAATGGCGTATGATAATTTTTCAGTAAGAGCCCCTCCTATTCTTACATCAGTAGCAATAACTCAGGTCTCATGAATACTACTAATGATCTGATTTTTAAAACGGAAGCACAGACTGAGTAGTTCCAGGACTGACTTACTTAATCTTAACCTAAGCACAGTTGTGTAGAGATGACTGTGAGTATATAACTAAAATAACTCTGGATAAAGACATTTATAAAGAGCTTCCGTATACATCACTGTTTGGCATTTCCTTCCACTTGGAACTGCATCATTTTGTTCTGTGATTCCATTCTTTAATTTGGCTGTAGAATGGAAAAGCACATAAAGCACTATAGAAAACGAACACACTCAGCCTGCTAAGCTGAATCATTTTCTGAGAGCCAATATTATAACAGTGCTCCAACATGGCACTGCATAGAAGGGGCACTGCTGGAAGTTCTTTGTCTCAGATGAAACAGAAAAATGTAGTCTTAACAACCTGTCAGTAAACTTCCCAAAGCACATTTGGAAAGAGGAAAGGCGTTAACCCTAGTACTCCGGCCAATTTCAAAATTCACTGTTTATATTCTACCTCCACTAATTTCCCCTGAAGTTTCTGGATATTCTCTCCTGCTTCCTTTCCTAACTCTTGTGTAATGCTATCCATAGGTAAACAGCTGTTGCATCTGACAACTGAATAGAAGTATTTCTACATACGGTAGTACCTTAATACATAAAGTGTACTGGAAACATTCTGGGAGACAGACTCTGCAAAATAAAAACAAGCTGTGTACCGTATTAAACACTAGCCATTATTTTGCTGCATGCAACAAAAAAGGTTTCCTGTGGTACTGGCAGCAACATAAGATACTTGGCAGACAGAGATGGACGCTCCACTGGGAAACTACTCAATGGGATATAACTATTGGATATAAAACTCTCAAACTGTTGATTGTGACAGTCTCTGACTCAGGAAGAACACCTTTCCTGTTAGTCTCCTAACCAGTTAAATTACAGCATTTACTGGCTATAGAGGGTTCTGCTTTTGTGAAAATATTCAAGCGTCATATACAGATATAATATATCTGGAATAAAAGTACCCCGAACTTTAGCAAAATGTGAAGTATAGCATTTTGTCACCAACTTCCTTGGAAAGGCCAGAAATTATACAGCACATTGATAAACCTTTAAAACATAACTGGTGTGTTCCAATTAATACCAGAAGAAGGAACTGCAGGTCTGCATTTCTACATGCTGTAGAATCTACCAGCTCTGCATTTCAAAGTAATATCCTACAGACACTTGTTTCATGATTCCTCATGTTTTTTAGTTTTTTTAATGCTACTGAAAAAAAAATTATAAGAAGTAGAAGAGCCCCGAAAAAGACCTTTGCCCCTTATCAACTCTTACCTCGTTTCTGTAAGATTTCTTGCAGATCTGGCTTGCCTGCTGTGTCTGTTAGAGCCTCTCCATCATTTTCCTGATCTGCATTGTCTTCTGTTTTGGAAGATCCAGCAGAGAGAGTTTGGAGTTTGGTCCCCAAATCTTGCACTTCTGATTTCAGGAAAGCAGCTGGTCCATCAATGCCTGCAGGCCAAAATGAAACAGAATGCTAAAGTCTATTTTTTACGGCTGAAGACGCATCCCAACATGCGTCCAAGACATCCCAACATCCCAACAAGAAAAACAATGGTTTTTCTTTTCATCTTCCATTGCTCAAACACCCCTTTAAAGTACTGACGTATACTTGTTCAACTTTTGTCAGAAGACCTGGGAGGAGTCAGGCCTGACTGGTACAGACCACTTATTACTTTAAACACATCAGGCAACAGTTTCTCCATTTATAAACACGGTGATTGTATGTACTTTTTTACAAGGGCTTAAGCAATTAATAAGAGTTGTATTTGTCATGCACATTGATATCCTTCAATTTATTTATGGGCAACTACTCTATTTTCTTTTCTTTCAGGTTCCTTGTTTGCTCCTGTGCCAATAAGTGAGTGCTCTACAGTGAACATCACAAATCAATTTGATAAAAATATCTACAGCCACAGGCAGAAAAAACTGTAAATGGATGCCCTCTATCTTTTTGGTGGAAATGAAATTTCCATGTTTAAACATGCAACACAGCTGTGCACTGCACTTCGTAATTGGTGGAGACGTCTTGATGTCAGGGTCTGGCATAATACTTAATACACGTTTGTGTAGCACACAATATGTAAGTGTAGTTCCAGCTTTGGATTTCTTGCTTTCCCACTGTTTTCCTTCTTAAAACTTTACTGCTTTATCTAGTCACCAGTTTTCTGACATGTTTACTGCTGTTATTGCTTCTTAACAGGATTTGTTTGTACTGAGGAAGCTTCAGAACTATGGAAGCTAGTGAGGAAGCAGTTAGTTTTAATTTTCTTTCTTGTATTTTCAGTACTACTGAAGTTTCCTAACTTAGAAGTTTTATCAATCTTTTCTCTCACTCTCTTCAACTTAGAAGTGTCTTTTAACAGAAGCTTTCTCCCACCTGATTTTAAACACATAAATGCTACCATCCACATCACCACTCTCCTCCCCATTCTATGATCCTGAAAGACATCTGGAGAACAAGAAAAGCATTCAAGAGACAGGGGATAACATAGTTCCAAATGTGATCTTCAAACCAGGTTAACACTGGCTTGTTTGGGTTTTTAAAAATTCTACTCTACACATTAATTCCCTATTAATATAATGGTGGTATTATAACATCCTGCAACAGCATGCATCTCAAAGCCTTAGGATGTTTCCTGTTACTTTCTTGATAGGCTGATGGGATCCTGGCTCTCCTAAACTACTTCCTGACACTTCCACTGGAATGTAGGGGTTTCATTGCTGCTCTTTTTCCCTCCCTGTGACATGGAAGTCTTAAGGCTCTCACTACTGTAATTCTTTTCACTCCTAACAGAATGGTCACTATTTTACTGTAATGTTTTGAGACCACTGAGTTATTGCCTTTGGCTCTGATGTCACTTTGTGTACTTGTGACTTTCTGGACCACTAGAGCCTGTTTGTCACGTTTCAGTTGTCTCCCTGAAGCCCACAAAAAACAATAGATGAGGTGAAAACCAGCAAGAACCTAACTCAGTATTCATAAGACTTTTGTTTTGCTCTTGTCTACTTTATCATTCAGTCATACGCAATCTTGAGATGGAGTATACCATGATATCATGAAGAAAAGTACAGGCAGTCACTACTGGATTCTTTCCTTTTCCTTATCCTACAGCTTCAGAAGACTCTCTTACTTTGGATTTGTATCCCCCTACCTTTATAGAAGTTCCTAACCCATTTCTACAGTTGTTCTTAGCTAACACAAGGGAGAGATTACTCAAAGGCACATGAAGATTCTCAGCTGTCACGAAATTCCAGGTAAGGTTTCTGTTTGTTTTTACAGTTCAGTATTGCTCAACCATACTGTACTACAATTCTACTTTTGTACATAGAAAGGTATGTAATCAATCTTGTTTATCACTTGACCACTGTCACAGCAATGTAGGTGCTCATCTGTGACATAAAATGCATGCACTGGCATTTTGGGGAACACTGTTGCAATCAGGTTGATTACTTACCATGTAATGTAACATCACTGTGGAAAGGGGTAGGAGTTTCTACTAAAGGAGTCTGCTCCTCACACCCTTTGGGCTTTGACCTACGCAGCTTTGCCTCAGGATTTGGTTGTACCATCAAGGGATCAAGACGTTTCTTCCTCTGCTTCTTCTCTAGAAGAGCTCTCTGTGAAATAAAGAAAAAGCACGAAATAAGGATGAGTAACCACATCCAGAGTGGCAGAAACCATGCCTCAGCCATTGACAATGGCATGTCACTGATCAGAATCTCCAATAAACCTGAAAGACTCTTGTAATCTCTTACAAAAATCCTAGACACAGATATCACTGTGTCTTCGGAGAGAGACATTGTCTTTGATTCTCCATCAGTGGTTGACGGGTGATGTGGACACCTGCTTATTTTCTGATCTATCCTGAGACCATCAGCAGATAATTTTAACTCCTTTCACCCAGTCTAAACTGCAGCACTCCTTAATAGACAAATTCAGCAGTCATTTATAATCCAATATGAAACATTTCACAAGGTAAATGTTATAATATACAACATGTTCATGCAATTTTATTACTCCATGCATCCTACTTACTTAAGCTGATAGAGTAGACAAAACGGCTCACAAGGACTCTCCGCTCTTTCCACTGCAGTTATGATTGGACTAAACATTCCATCATTTAGGACAACAACTTCCTGTGCATACAGGGAATGTATAATTTTTCCTCCCTGTTTTGTACAATTAAGCTAACTTTGTATTAAGAGAACTATCTCCAAGACTATCTGAAAATGCCGGAGTAAAGATGAGAACCCCTGCCCTATGCATTATATGACAATTAAGTCTTTTACTGTATTACCATAACATTTCTAAAAATCCTTAGTCAGGGCTTACTCTGCCACTGCAGTTATAAATGCTGTCACAATGCAGCAAAAGCAAGTCAGGACTTGCAAAGGAAAAGGTTTTTGTCTCAAAAGCTATCATCCTATAGGGAGAACTCAAAACAAATAGTTCCCAGAAACCAATGTTGAGAGATAAGACTGGGGGGAGTGGGGGGGTTGATGGGAATTTCAATCATTAAAATAGGACTGATCCAGTAAAAGGAAAATTGATCTACCTTGCAAAATTTTTCTGTGTAATTCAGGATTGAAAGGAAAGAAGGGTAAATCCAAATGTTAAAAAATAAAACATTACTTTTCCAAGATACTTATACATTTGATGTTTATGATTTCCTACTAAGTGAGGATAGAAACTTCTAGATTGAAATCAAGGCAAATGGGGACATTGCACCATTTTAAAGACAGCCATGCTTAATCCTTAAAAGTTAAGGCAATGCATGAAGAAGAAGAAAAAAATCATATTCTAATATTCTGTAATGCACCGCTATGCAAACAATGTGCAAGCCCCTTGCCGTAGATGCAGTTTATCCATGCCTGCTTCTTAGGTACCCTGAAAGTTGTTCTTGATGATAGAAACCCTTTCTCCATCAAATTCTTTTCAGTCTCCAAGGATCCATCAGATAAACAGTACCAACAATTCAATCCACTTGAGACATAGACATCTTTGGAACCCTTTCCTCTCCTGTTATGCTTTTTATCTCTCTTGTTGGTTCTTTCCTCTCCTATTAGGCTTTTTATCTCAAGTGAGGTTAGTTTCTCAGGCAACCTCTCCCTGAGGAATTCCAACCCAACTCAGCCCTTGGTCCTTTATTCTTTCTGCTTTTCAAGCACTTATCTAAAAAAAAAAAACCCAAAACAAAAAACAACACCCCCCCCAAAAATCCAAACCAAAAAACAACAACAAAAAACCAAACCAAAACGACCTTTTTTATTTAAACTCATAATTACACTTTGGAGACCGGACTGCAATACAGGTAGTGTTTGTTACTACAGAATTATTTGCAAGGATTGTCCTGCAGGGCAAAAATTACATAGAATTCCGAAGAGATTATCACATTTGTCTAGAAGAAGAAAAGAAAAATAAGCAGTACTAGTCAAATTCTCAGAAAATGCTAATTACAGATAAAATTTGTTTTCTAGAAAGGTAGTCAGACCCTCCAGAAGAATTTACATTGGTTTGTGTTGTTTGTTTGTTTTTTAAATTAATGCTGAGGAAAAGTAAAAAAATTCATGATAGTTTATAAATCTCTAATAGTTTAAATAAAAGGAGAGAAGGAAAACGAGAATCAAAACATTATACTCAGAATAAGGATTTGAGAAAAATTGTTGCCAAGGCTTCTCTATCTGACAAATAGACAGACAGACAAGAAAAAAATAAAACAGACACATCCTAAAGGCAGTAAGAAAGTACACAGCTACTGCTAGAATGGGAAATTGAATTTAGGATCAATATAGGATATAAGAACTTTCAGAGCTACCTAACTGATTATTCTATTAGATGAGCTTTTTTAAACATTTCACTGCTCACCAGTCTAAAAATTTATTTTTTCTTATTATAGTACATTCTGTTTCATCAAAGAGGTTCTAGGACTCACCAATCCAACGGGATCATATTGGTTTATATTGAAACATATACTTTACTGCTGGTAGATGTGACCAACCTTCTTCTTGCAAGAACTTTCAAGTGACAAAACTTGACAGTAATTTAATTTGTTTTAAAAAGGCTTCTCTCTACTACTTTGCTTATTGAGATGGAAAAAATCTACAAGCCCACTGACAGGACAGACAGAAGCAGTTCATTTTCTCTACATAAGGTGGCAGGGCAGCCTTACCTTCAGTACTGTGTATTCTCAGACTTATTCCACTAAGCTGGAGTAGAAAAAAGGAAACTGTATTTTGTTTCATTTTGTCTACTAACTAGCCTTTTCCTCCAGCTCTGTGTTACAGCAAAAATTCATATAATATTACAACAAAAAAATTAGATAGTTCATGAACAGGACACCAGAACACACAAACTGTTAAATAACAGATATAGATTATCATGATTTGTTCAGGATTTTGTGAACTCCATGTATTAAATACTTTCAGAAACATTTTCTTTGCACCACAGAAAAGCATAACATCAGAATACAGAATGATTAAAGGATCACAAACCACCAACTCCAGTTCCAATGAGTTTCCAACAAGCTAAGTCGTCAGACGTGTCAGATGAATATATCATAGCAGACTAATAAGACAACTAGTTCAGTATTCTTTCTACAAGTGTGATGAACAGGAAGACAGTATACAGGAAGGTTCTAACCACTCCACCCTTGAAGGTGCAATACTATACTACCTATTATTTGGCACGGTCCTACCTTAGTAGGCCATGCAGGATGGATCCTAGCTCCGAAACATCCTCTCCACTGTTCCAGCTCCTCCTTAGTTCATGCTGAGGCAGCAGTGACAAGGCTAGTGCTGATGGCATTAATGAAGCTTCGGGTCAAGAGTAAGTACCATACCAGGTGCATTCAGCAATATGCCTTCAGCTTCACGCTCTCCACCCACAGGGAGATGGCAGCATTGCACTTTGAGCTGCAGGTGCCTCAAAAGACACTGAAACACCTTTTACTGCTGCGGAAGTCAGCACTGCCTGAGCAGCCACACACCCTCTCCTCAAGGAAAAGGCAGCAGTCTAGAAAAAAGCATCCTGGCAGGCAGGGCTGGCCCACAGATGGAACTTGATATCATGCATTATTATAAATAATATTTTACTTCAGTTACAGGGTTTCTAAACCCATCATGAAGATGGATGACAGGCATATGTCTTTGCCATGGCAAATGTTTATTCCAGATTCTCTGTATGGCCAAAGGTTCTAAACATGATCCTGCTGGATTAAAACATTTTGCAATTTTTATCCCAATTCCTATAAATGTTTAGGACAAATTAATCAAGCAGGGCATCAGGTACAACCAGCAATGAGTCCATCATGTCCGATAGTGATCTCCTATTGACCTCTATTTCTTCAGAAGGCATGGTACTATTCATGTAAAAGTTAAAAGTAGACATTAGAAGTTAATATTCAAACCTAAATATACAATCCTAAATTAGAGACTGTTAGCATTTCTCAACAAATCTCATTTGCAAGGAGGTGGGGTGGTGTTAAAATATATTTTAGTGAAATTTTCTAGCTGTTGGTTTTGCAGATAATTGCAATCTCAACCAAATTCAAGAAAGCCTGAAACAAAATTGCAAAAGGGTACAAATTCTTTAAACTCACCTCTTCATGATTCAAATGTCAGCTGCTCTGAGGGAATTCCACCCAGCCCAGCAGCTTTGTTTTGGTGGAACAGCAATGCATCCCCACGGCAAGGTCTGAAACTAGGCATATGTTGGCCACAGCGCCTAGCACTAGGAACCAGTGATTACTACCAGCTTATGACCCAAGACAACAGTCTAAAAAAGACACTGAGGTTCATCACCAAGCAGTCAGACCATCCTTAGTTTTAGAACTTCTTACTGAGTGGTATTTGGCACTAAATGCTCTTTTACTGATTACTTGAACTAATGCTTTCTTTTTTGTTGTTGTTGTTTTGTTTTTTTAAACAAGTGTCACTGGATAGTTTACAGGTAAAAGGATTATCCTAGCTTCCACAAATATGACCAAAGATAAATTTTACTCCTTGACTCTGAAGTGTTTTAGATAAGCATCTATATAGACACAGATAAAGTTGGTAATAAATCCACTGTCTGAAGTCAAAGCTAAGCAAACTCAAACTAGAAATAATGAACAAGTTCTGGTAAAGAGGGTTATTATCCACTGCAACAGTTCCCTGAAGACTGTTATGTCTGGATTTAAAGATCCTCAGCTGAGAGAGCGCTTTTCTAAAAAACATACTTTAATTTGAACACAGATGAATTTAACGCATGAGTGATTTGTGGTCCATGTGAAACAGCCAGCTAGAGAATCATAATAATCTCACGTCTTCTAATCTATTTATAAGCATTTAAAATTTCACAGAGGAAGAATATTAAGGATGGATACTTTATTGCTTTGAAGAATATGGTCATGTAAGCATCCAGAACAACACTAAAAACTGAGACCTATAAGATAATATTTGACAAATGCTTGGCTGTAAATGTTTTCTTTGTAGGAAACAAAAGAATTCGAAAGATGCTGGAAAGTTTTCTCAACAGCAGTGTTAAGGAGATCTTCCTATAGCTCGAGGAAACTTTTCCTTTTCCTTTGATGCTTAAAATGGATAATTCCCTGCAGTCTTCCTTTCTTTTGATTCATTCCTGCATTGTGGTGACTCAATCCCAATGAAATGAGAGGACATATGAAAAATAAATGTATCAAAGAAATCAAGCCTACAAGTCATAGCAAGGTTTACTTAAACTAACGAAAGCCACAAAAATCTTTAAAGAAAAATATTAGCAGTAAGTTCTTGTTTCTATTCTTTAGACCAAGCATTTTCCCCATTTCTCAAGTCTCTAGATGGCTAACGTTTGTTTTCCTATACTTAATTTTACCAGCTTCAGCACTATCATTTACCTGATTCTCTAGTTTCAGCTGTCGTAGTTTCATGCTTTCATCCTCAAAGATGCTGAGAAAGGGAAAGAAACAAATTAATTATTGCTAGTAAATAGTTTGCATTATAAGAGCACAGGATATTCACAGACTACAACTTCACCATCAAGACTTTAAAACAACTGTAAGACATAACTTCTATCCCACGGGAAAAGCAAGTTACAAGGCATTAAAAAATAAAACATACTTCAAATTCTGTCATAAATGGGACCAAACTGTAGTTTAATCACCTTAGTAAACTGTTCTGAAAACATTTTGTAAGCAAAAAAGGCTTCATTACTGATGGACTGATTATGAGCCACTATTGCGGTGGGCTATGAGACGATTTATATCTGAAGGCTTAACACAGTTCAAACCAATTCAGTAAAGTTCCTGCTCCTTCATAAAATACCAATTCCAAATTAACTCAGAATTTTAGGTTTTGTCTTGGAGTCAAACCTATACCATTTTCTCCTCCTGCCAGACTTCCCAGAACTACTGTTAATACCTGTGAGAATCTGTATTTGCAACACCTGATATTAATTCCTAGAGATAAATAGTGAAATAATTATTTTTTCATTTGTTTTATAGATAACTTTCATAAGAACTCTAGTTTTTCGTTCTAAGTTGTGTTCCACATAGACTTTCCATTTCCTTTTGTACGATAATGAATTATTACATAAAGTGCAATTTAGAGCAGTTAACCCTACAAAGGGGAAAGGTTAATTGACAAGTAAGCACATATTCTGCCTACCCCAGTTGTGTGCTTTCCTCCTAAGCAGTTTTGACAAAGACTTCTCTGAAAGCGAGAAAGCATCAGGAAGAAGATACTTAATACGGGAAACAGATAAACATTATATATTTTATTGATGGCACGCAGAAAAGCAGGGCTAGCCAAAATTTCAATTTAAACAGGAAATTCTCTGTCTGGTCTAGGTATGCAGTAATGTCCAATGATGTGAAGTCACAAGCTGGCAGACAGTGCTGAATATAACCCTAACAAAGAAAACCAGAGAGATGGAGAGAGACAAGAAGAGAGGTGGGGTGGGGTTTCTGCAAAACACATGCCATGGAAATTGGATCACAGCACATAGAGCTAACAAGAGGAGAAAGGGCTCAGAGTCCCCTTAACCCCTAGCAAATCCACATTTGACTTGACTTCCAGGCAAGCAGATGACAGATGAGAGGTCCTTACAGACAGACTACCCTAGCCAATGCAGGCCCTGTTCTGGAAGGATGAAATGTGCAGGGGAAAAAAAAAAGTTTTGTATACGCACATCATATATAACAGTTTATATACTCTAAAATTGATGCTTACTGCCCAACTAATGGTATTTTAAAGCAAGTTACCATTGTCATTGTTTTTTACTTTGCAGTTTTCCTTATTTCTATAATTTTTTTCTAACGTATTTCAAGTATCATCACATAACAGGTCTAGGACCTTGAAAACACCTTGCTTCTAAAAACTAACGTTACTCTTCACATGGACCAGTAATATGTAGCACCTTGGATTCAAAGGGAATGGAGGGCCTGGAAAAATTATGTCTTTCTTGAAGAGGGATGGAGAGCTATTGTGTGTCCCCACAGCAATAATTACAGTAATACACTTGTCTCCACCTGAAAACATCCACAATTTAAGAAAGAAACATGCAGAGACGTATCTACTGAGTGCAGCAAGATACAGATTAGTTGCCACATGAAACTTCAAAATAAAGTTAAAATGTAACATTTAAATGTTTTATTTAAACCATAGGTGTTAGAAAAGGCCATCTTTGGCAAAGTCCGAAAAATGCTTGAAAGCTCCAGTTAAAATATTCATGACCAAAAAAAAAAGGGAGGAGGGGAATGTTCCTTTTCTTTTCATACACCTACTGACTTAAAAAATAGATGACATTTGTTAACTGCAGTCAAGAGTTTGTTATAAAGCAATCTATGTAGCTCTGATCAATATTAGATTTACGGACACATTCTTATATAATTAAGAAGAACTACAAAGATGTCCTGTGTAGATACAAGCTACTGTCTGTGGTTTTGTTGCTTTTCCTAATAGAAAATGCATCCCCAACAATTTGAGTCTTCTCTTCAGATAAAAAGAAATAAAAACACTACCACTTTTGTTGCTTCCTAATAGAAAATGCATCCCCAACAATTTGAGTCTCTTCAGAAAATAAAAAGAAATAAAAAATAGGACATTTGTTAACTGCAGTCAAGAGTTTGTTATAAAGCAAAATATGTAGCTCTGATCAATATTAGATTTACGGACACATTCTTATATAATTAAGAAGAACTACAAAGATGTCCTGTGTAGATACAAGCTACTGTCTGTGGTTTTTCCTTTTCTTTTCATACACCTACTGACTTAAAAAATAGATGACATTTGTTAACTGCAGTCAAGAGTTTGTTATAAAGCAATCTATGTAGCTCTGATCAATATTAGATTTACGGACACATTCTTATATAATTAAGAAGAACTACAAAGATGTCCTGTGTAGATACAAGCTACTGTCTGTGGTTTTGTTGCTTTTCCTAATAGAAAATGCATCCCCAACAATTTGAGTCTCTTCAGAAAATAAAAAGAAATAAAAACACTACCACTTTTGTAAATAAGTTTCCAGGTTTTCCTTTTTACCTGGAAGATGGCAAAATGATGAAATATTAGGACTCGCATATGCACCTTGCGGAAATCCTCAATGAAAATTATTTACTTTGTATTTTTAAGTTATTTTCTACCCACACTGGAATAAAGTTATGTGACATCAAAGACAGGTCTGAAGACTGTTGGAACGGCACCATAACGCAGACTACACAATGCCTCACTTCCAACCGCTTAACTGAGACTCAAACATGGTTGAACTACATGAAGATTCTAACAGGTCACAGAGCTTGATAAAGCGAAAGATAACAAGAGTGTTCTCTTTTACGGTTAACTGTTAAATGCAGACCAAAATCACCTCGTAGCAGGCCACAAAATGAAAGCAGCCATCAATCCTTCCCATTATGAAGTGCGAGGATTCATACAAGGAGCAAAATAAAAAGAAACAATTAAAGCCAAGAGCACTGTGGCACTGTAAGTAGTAGCTAAAAAACAGTAAGAATAAAAAAAAATTACACTATTTTTATTTACTCCCCCTGCAACCTTCCTTCCAGCACTTGGTCATCATGAAAGTGTAACATAATAACCAGACAAAAAAGAGCTTCCCACACATACACACTTCAAACTTTTTTCTACGCACCACAGCGAGGCTGGTGCTGTTACAGACCTTACAGGAAAAGGCTGTGCCAGAGTCACTCCCACAGCTCACCACTAAGGAATGCAAGTAGTGTGCTAATACAACTGCAGGCTTCAAACACAAATCCTCCTTCAGATGGACTGACTACACAGGCCAGTACATCTAAGTGCTCTTTGGACATGCCCACGCAAAACCACTATGCTCTTCGCTATGCTTTTCTATTTGAAGGGTTTACATGCAATAAGAGGAATTAAATACCCAGTAGGAACAGGAAAAATAAGCAGCATTTCCATAGCAACAACAACACAGTTCAAAACAAGAAAAAAAAAAACCCAACAACAACCACCAAACCAGCTGCCCATTTACCTTTGATAAATAAGAACTGAAAATATTCAAGTAACCTGTCACGATCTTCCTCTTCCAAACTGCTGCAGAAGAGCAGGCTACACGAGACCCTGCACACCAACTCCTCTGCGACATTTACCAGAATCCACTAGCTCTCCTACTAAAGCTGCATGATGGGTAATGGACACATGCCACAGAGAAAGGAAAAACGACCCAGAATGTAACACAGAAGTGAAGACTAATGATTATCCAGGATACAGAATAAAAATGAGAGTGGGAAAGCAACTATTTAACAAAAACACTCAATTGAGAAGATAAAACAGCATCTCTGAATGTGGGAGAAGACAGTGAGACATAAAGGGGTTCACAGATCCATTCCTCCTCACAGATCCATTTCCAGATTCAGCATAGTCCAACATAAAGCATAGTCCAACATGAAGCAAAATGTTTTATTTTTCACTGATACCACCTCAAATTCCTGCTGAAATCAGCATTAGCCCTGTTTTCCTATCATAAGCAGAAGTTAAAGTGTTGCAATAGGAATATGAATGTCAAATTTATTATAGATGTGTTTATTTGGTCTTTCCTAACCACTTTCAGAAGATCAAACTAACCACAATGAAGAGATAACTCACAAGTTATTTAACAGATGTTCATATATGCAATTAAGGCTTCATTTTTATGCAGTTTATTTTCATTTCTGTAAAAAAGGCACACTACGTCTATTGACAGTTCTTTCAGAATGGACGTATTATTTTTCAATAACACACTGCAATTTTGGAATTACAAACTATGTTGTAAAGCATACATATGGCTAGACAGTGTTAACACTCTTGTTTTCATTGCAACTTCTCTGTGTTACTGAATGTATTATACTTAAAAAACCCAAAATAGTTACATTCTAAGCAGTTGGCAATAATTACCATTGAATCAGCCAAATACAAACTCACAGTATAATGCAACTCTGAGAAGAATGAAATACCCTGATATTAAGGCAGGAAAACATAGAAAATAGGGCAAGAAAGCAATCCACCAGTCTGAAAATGGTCTTCCCATTCTGCCCGAGGTCCACACAAGAGAAATGATTCTGAAGAGCTGAAGAGAGTTCAGCAGAAAGCTGAACAAATTGGCCAAGGACTGGAAAATGTACCTCTTAGCAAGATTTGAATGCATCCTACAGTTTATCCAAGAGAAAAACTAATTGACACACTCCACTGTATTCCATGGATTTGAGGCCACAAATGACAATTGATGAGACAGGAGAAGACAACAAAATCCAGTCATACATAACTGAAGCTAGACAAATTCAGACTGCAAATAAAATTTTTATTTAACACTGTGACTAATTAACCATTGGGATATGTCATGGAGCTGTGGATTTTCAACAGAAAACAACAGGTTTTAATCAACGTTGAATATTATGCTAAAAACTGCTGTCATGGAGTAAGGCTATGGTCTACCT